GGTCAGAAAACTCCAGACCAGCGCAAAATTTGGTTGGGTGGTTGAATTTAGGCAACTTTTCATCCTTCCTTCCAGTGCCATTTCCTAGTGAGTCTGCAGATTCTCAGGAAATTTTAGGTGCCACACTTCTTTTAGGTCATAAAAGGAGGAAGTAGTGGGACAGGGACTTTGACCAAGGACTCTGTTTGCACAGCCCCAGAGTTGCTGTAGACCACCATAAGCACTTGCCTTTAGCAGCTCATAATTTAAAAATAAAATAAAATAAAATAAAGAACATTTTTCATTCTATCATTTAAAAAGTAAGTCTGGGTGTGATGATGTAATCCCAGCACTTTGGGAGGCTGAGACTCGAGGATTACTTGAGCCCAGGAGTTTGAGACCAGCCTGGTCAACATAGGGAAGGCCCCATCTCTACAAACAATAATAAAAAAAAATTAGCTGGGCATGGTGGTGCGTGCCTGTAGTGACTTGGGAGGTTGAAGCAGGAGGATCTCTTGAGCCTGGGAGGTCAAGGCTGTAGTGAGGCATGTTTGCAACCCTGCACTCCAGCCTGGGCTACAGAGTGAAACCCTGTCTGGAAAAAAAAAAAAAAAAGTAGGTAAAATTTTGGCGAATTTAAGAAGAGAAAAAAAATACCTATAATCTCATCTGTGAAACACAACCACTTGGACATTTTAGTGTATTCCTTCTAGTTTTTTTCCCCTAGAAAAACCTAGGGTGTGTGTGTGTGTGTGTGTGTGTGTGTGTGTGTGTGTGTGTGTATTACACATAACACATATACACATCACATATCCATGTACATGTATATAGTCACCTTTATTGAGATGCAGTTTGCATGCTTTAAAATTCACACATTAAGTGTACAAGTCAATGAATTTTGACAGATGTATGCACCTGAGTAATCATCACCGTAGTAGAGATCTGGAATATTTCCTTTGTCCCACAGAGTCACCTGTGCTGTTTAGCCTGTTCTCTCATCTCCGACTCCAGGCAATCATGGCCCTTATTTCTGTAGCCTCAGAGCAGTTTTGCCTATTCCAGTTTTGACTTCACATCAATGGAGCCATGTGTTTACTCTTTCATGTCTGGCTTCTGTTGCTCAGCATAATGTTTTTGAGGTTGATCATGTTATTATATATGCATCAATAGTTTGTTCCTTTTGTTGCTGATTAATATTTCATTATAAGAATGTACATTCACTTGTTAATGGATATTTGGGTGTTTTTGGTTTGGGGCTATAACGAATAAAGTTGCTACGATCATTCCTGCACAAATCTTTTTTTGGACATGTTTTCTTTTTTCTTATTTATTTATTGTAGAGATTGGGTTTTGCTATATTGCCCAGGCTGGTCTTGAGCTCCTGGCCTCAAGTGATCCTTTTGCCTCCAGAAGTACTGAGATTACAGTCATTAGCCCCCACACCCAGCCTGTAGACATGTTTTCATTTGTCTTGGGTAACTACCCAGGAGTAGAATCCTGGGTCATAGGGTAGGTCTTTATGTTTAGTTTTACAGGAAACTACCAGACAATTTTCCAAAGTGGTTATATTATGTTACATTATGTGAGAGTTCCAGTTACCTCACATCTTTGTCAACACTTAGTGTTGTTGCTCTTTTTAATATTAGCCATTCTGGTGAGCATGCAGAAGTTTTAATTTGCATTTCCCTTATCACTAATGATGTCAAACATTTTTTCACAGGTAAGTGTTTTTTTGTTTGTTTGTTTGTTTTGTTTGAGATGGAGTCTTGCTCTGTCACCCAGGCTGGAGTGCAGTGGCATGATCTCAGCTTGCTGCAACCTCTGCCTCCCAGGTTCAAGCTATGCTCCCACTTCAGCCTTCCAAGTAGCTGGGATTATAGTCATGTGACACCACATGACTAATTTTCAATATTTTTAGTAGAGATGGGGTTTTGCCATGTTGGCCAGGCTGGTTTTCAACTCCTGACCTCAGGTGATCCACCCGCCTCAGCCTCCCAAAGTGCTAGGATTACAGGCGTGAGCCACCACACCTGGTCAGGTAAGTGTTTTTATATTTATAATTCTTTTTCTAGAGGCAGAGCTAAAGGCTGTTTGAGGCCGTTTTTTGAGTCCTGGGTAGTGCTGAAAATGTTGATACTGTTATTGATGCAATGCTCTGGTATAGCAGACTTCATTCTTCCTCTAACCAAGTTGAAATTCAGAGGAAAACAACTCTGGGTGATTTGTGTGAATGACCAGTCAAGCAGAGACTGGATCTTTCTGGTGGCAGTTCTGGAATTTCAGTACATGCTGTGTCTGACTGGAAGGCTGGAACTGGACCTTTCTCACCATATGGTGTTTTCATTTGGATCTCTCTAGGAGATCTGATGGTGATAATAATGATGATGATGATGATAAGGTGGAGAACGTGGAAGGAGTTAGGGTAGAAATTAAGGCTCACTGCAAAGGCAATGGCAGAGTTGGATTAATCCTACCGTAGTGCAGGTGTGAGGCTGGGCATAGCACAGTACTGAGCAGAGCACCTAGGATAGCATTTTAATCCTAAGAGGCCAGCAGATATCCCTAGTAAGCCTTCACGCACCCGAAACTCCCTCAAGAGCATGAACAAGAGCCATATTTTATATGGTGCTAGCTCCACCTCCATATGCTTATTCCAGGAGGAATTGTCCAGGGAGATGGAAAGAATTTGTGTAACAAATCAGTCCCCTGGGGGTAGCACATTCAGGCCTCCCTGTGCGGAAGAAAAGGCCTTTGGGCCAGGTTGCCAGGCCTCCCCCTGAGCATATCAGTTCATGTGTTTCCTCAAGAGATTCTTGATGATACTCCAAAGCCAACCAGCAGAACACCTCCATCTGCCCTGAGACCTGACACTCACCAGTTCCCAGATGTTCTGAATTGTACCAAGCCAGTTTCTATACTTTCTCCGTCTAAATGTGAACTTATAAAGAACAGCCACCATTTCTTATTTATAAAGTCTTAGTTTGGGTTCCCCCTGAAGCAGACCTGAAACAAGGATTTGAGTGGAAGTAGTTTATTTGCAAGTTGATCCCAGGAAACGTAGGTAGTGGAGTGGGGTGATGAGGCAGGAGATGGGGGCAGCAATGTGGGGTGTGTTAGCAAGCCAGTTGCCACGGTGGACACTGATATGGTTTGAATATTTGTCCCCTCCAAATCTCATGTTGAAAAGTGATTGCAATTTTGGAGGTGGGGCCTGGTGGGCAGTGTTTGGGTCCTGGGAACAAATCTCTTGTGAATGTCTTGATGCTGTCCTCATGATAGTGAGTTATTGTGAAATCTGGTTGTTTAAAAGTGTGTGGTACCTCCTCTGCCTTGTTCCCCCTCTTGCCATGTGATACGCTGGCTCCCTGTTTGCCTTCTGCCATAATCGTCAGCTCCTTGAGGCCTCACTGGAAGCGGAGCAGATGCTGGCGTGATGCTTCCTGAACAGCCTACAGAACTGTGAGCCAATGAATCCTCTTTTCTTTGGAAATTACCAAGCCTCAGGTATTTCTTTACAGCAACAGAAGAATGGCCTACCGTAGGTATCTAAGGCTCAGTCCTGTGGGTCCTCTGGGACACGGTGCAGAACAGGCCTCCAAGCTATTCCACCTGGGCAGGGAGGGAGCCGGGGTATTTATCCACAAACCGCTAATAGTCATTGAATGAGGACATTCCTGGGAGGCTTTAATTTCTGGATCTTGCAGCTGCCCTTCTCGTAGGCAGGGTGGACTCCAGCAGCTGGAGAAAGCCCCCAAGCAAAGATATGCCAGGTGCTGACAGCTAGGAGTCAGGCTACCTTTGTACAATGAAGTTGCAAGGCTAAGAGGGTATGGGCAGGGCACTGACAATGTCAGCTGTGCTTCCCCAGTGAACAGGTCCTCAATAAAGCATGCTGGCTGAACCCAGAGAGCTCAGCCAGCTTTGACCCCACAAGCTACAGCTCCTGTTTATTCTCCAGCAACCCCTGAATACTGCCATCAGCTGGCAATACTATTTCAGGATCAAACCTGAGAGACCAGCACCCTTACGTCTTCTTAAAGTGTGTAGTCCTAGAGCAAGCAGCCTCAACGTCACCTGGGAACTTGTAAGAAATGTGAATTATTGAGTTCTACCTGACACCTACTGAATCAGAAACTCTGGCAGTGGGGCCCAGGAATCTGTATTTTAACAAGTCTTCCAGGTCATTCTAATGCTACCTGAAGTTTAAGACCCACTGTTTTGGACTCTAAAATGTAGGGCAACCCAGCAGTTTCCAAAGCGAAGCCATTTGCTCTTGGTTAGAACTCCACCATCCCCAATCCCAAGAACCAATGGCAAAAGTGGATGGGGTCTCCAGAAACATGTGATACTTTGCCCCCTTTTTTGAGTTTTTCTTTTCTTTTTAGGCTTAGTAAATATACATTGCACCAAGTTATCAATTATCAACAATGGAAAGCAGCCCAGGCATATATACTGTAGAAGATAACCCAAAAGACACCTGTGTTGAATTTAACTTGAAGGTGGGAGGATTTATGTTTCTGCTTGTTTTCCTGAGCTAATATTTAAGTTACTTCTCTTGCCTTGAGTCCCTACCAGATGGGCAGTAGGGGGGAAGTCACGGGTGAATCCGTAGAAGAAAAACCTGCCCTGGGATTTTAAGTCTATCACAGAAGATGTACAAGGAGCTGGGGGTACCCGCGAAAGTCACTGTGTGGGGGAAAACTATGAAGGATGTGCTTGGTTTAGCTGAGCTGACCCAGGCCAGGTGAGAATAGGAACCGTGGCAGCAAGCGGCAGCAGAGGGACCCATAAGCAGTCTTCTAGGCTGAACCAGGCTGTGTTCCCTACAGCAGACACCCCTCACTCCTTCCAGCAACCCCAGCTGAGAACAGCACCTAGACAGGCCCATTTCTTCTGGAGAGGCTCTTCTTGCTCCTGCTCTACCCTGTGCCCTGATGCCAGCAGCCACAGCAGCCCTTCTTGTTCCCGCCCCCGACCTGTGGTGTGACATCACAATGTAGTCCGTTCAGGACCTTGAGACTGATTTGCCCCATGGGCCTAGGATGTAAGCTCAACCTCTGGCCTGCAGTTCCAGATCCAAGGTGACTAGGACAAACTGCCGGGTGCCACTGGCTTATCAGGATCACCTGGTGAGTATTCGGAAGGAGATACAGCCAACAGTTGGCTGGCTTAGCACTTTGGGATCTCATTCTCACACAGGTTTAGACGGGCCAAACTAGTGGCCGGGGGTTTGCCGGGACAAGCCCCAGACTCCTCCTAGGCAAGCTGACTCACCTGTTGGACACTCCCCTTCCGAGCCCCTGCTGGGCCACCATCTGCGGGAGGCGGTACTCTAGTCTCCCCTAAGACTCGGCTTACCACCTGCACCAGCTCCCTGGGCAAAGGTCACCTGTGTTCTTAATAGACAGGGCAGAGAGGCCAGGCTCTCAGATAGCAAATTCACTGGAGCATCACGTCTAGCCCTAATTGAGGTCAGGGACAGCCACTGGCCAAATGACGCACCACACAGCAGCAAGAGCAGAGGCAGCTGGCGCAGCCACTGGTGCAGCCACCTCCCGTCCAAAAGGTGTACAATGGCCCTTGCTTTCTGTAAAAGGCCTTCCTGCTTTGGGTGTTTTTAAATCTCCCTCCTGGTGACCCTCTGGTATATATATAATTGGTTCCTTTCCTTTGGGACAGTAAGAGAGCTCTGGGATGGTGACGGGAAATGAGTAGATGGATTAGGACACCAGGAAAGTGGGCAAAATCTAAGATGGAGGGGTCGGGGACAGAGGCTACAGTCATCTCTCAAAGAGGATGCTGGCTCTTCCCAGCTGGGCCACCCGCACTCGGTCAAGGGTGCTTTGAGGCCCAAGGCCTTCTACATCAAACAGTGGGGACCCACTCTGGGCCCCAGGAGGCACAGTCATCTCCCCACTGCGGCTCATTCCTGTTTCCCCATGGTCTATCCATGGTCCATTCACCAGCTGTGTGTGCCAACGCGTCCACACTGCTGCAGCAACGTCGCTTCTCTCACACAGGAGTGGCTTCTATAGGACCCTTTGATTTTGAGAAGGCTCCTGGCTCACCCTGACTGTAAGGTAGAAAGAGAGTTGGGGGTGGGTGATAAGAGAAATCTCTTACTCTTAGGCTTTGCCAACCCTCCTTAGTCTTAAATGTGATGGGCTGAAGCTAACCTCTGCTTCACACACAAGTCCAAGACGCCAGTGGTTCACCAAGCATGGTAAGAACATTTCAGCTCATCTTAGGCTTCACTGGAAAAGGAAAAAAAAAAAAAAAACAAACAGTAGAGGTGACAGCGTGAGAGCAACCTGTGGTCCCCGACCTGCAGCAGGTTCAATTTGGAGAGGAGAGAGGGAGCAAACGCTGCAGTTCCTGTGCCAGACCTGCCACCTGCATTATTGCTGGGTTTTACTTTTATTATTATTATTATTTTTGAGACGGAATCTCACTCTGCCGACAGGCTGGAGTGCAGTGGTACGATCTAGGCTCACTGCAACCTCCACCTCCGAGGTTAAAGCTATTCTCCTGCTTTAGCCTCCTGAGTAGGCAGAACTACAGGTGTGTGCTACCACACCCTGCCAATTTTTGTATTTTTAGTAGTGACGGGGTTTCGCCATGTTGGCCAGGATGGTCTCGATCTCTTAACCTCATGATCCTACTGCCTCGGCTTCCCAAAGTGCTAGGATTACAGGTGTGAGTCACTGCACCAGGCCATTATTGCTCTTAATTCTGACCTCTGTGAAGTAGGTGTTCTCAGGCTCATTCTACAGACATGGAAACCGAAGACTGTTCTGTGCTGGGCTCTGCATTAAAGAGGGACAGTAACCTGGAACATGCATTCAGTCTCTATCGACCGTCTCCAAAATTAGAGCTCTCTGAAAAGAGAATGGGCTGCTTTGCAAGGCAGTGAGAGTATACAGGCCAGAGCTCTTCGGTCAGCATAGAAAGGAACGACATTCTTGTGATCAGCTGGGAGCTGGACCAAAAGATCTTTAAAGGCTGTTTCCAAATCCGTGATTGTAGGATTCTGGGTCTTAATACTTTGCCCACCATCTGCGATTGAACCCAGATGGGTTACGCCTTTAAGGGAGCTGCAAACTTCCTATTAGGCAGGGAGAGCTGGAAGGAACCATAAGAGATCAGCTACGGGCCCCGGTAGGAAAGAGGAACCCAGGCTGGTTGAGGGAGTTTTCCGAGGCTCCAGAGCCAATTTGCAGAGTTAACCTGTGTTAAATGAACAAATGGAGGAGCCAGGCCTGAGTGCTGATCAAACGTCTCTGTGCCCATCTCTCTTGTTCACCTGGCTCTCTCCTATCAAGGTTATGATTTAGCCACCGTTTATGGAGCGCCTACTGCATGCCGAGTGTGTTTCTAGAGATGATTTCACTTACTCCTCCCCAGCTCCACGAGGTGGGTGCCATCCGCCATGTTTCTCAGATGAGCATGGTTAGGTAACCGCCCCAGAGGTTCAGGTACTTGTGGAGGTGTCACAAATACTAAATGACAAAGCAGGTCTCGCTAACCCCAAGGAAAACTTCTGTCTCCATCTGCCGCCTCCCGGCTTGTGCGAGGAACCACTTTCCTTTCTAATCTTTTCCCTAAGACAAACTGCCATAGACGTGCCAAGCTCCATGGTGGCTATTCCCAGCCCCTCCTGGACGCTGCCCTGACAGATGCTGAACTCCCTGTGGGCCCGCTTGGTTTGCTGGCCTGGCCCCTCACTCTGACGGGATGAGATGGAGCAATGTCTACACACAGACAGATGTTATGCACCGAGGAAGAAAATCTGCTAATCGAAAGCAGCTTCGGCTAATTGTGGCACTCTCCCTTCTGCGTGGTGCCCTGAAATAGTAGCCACGCTCTGTTCTTTTTTCACAACAGGGAGCCCCAATTGGCAATTTAAATGAGGTTGCAAAGAAGTCAGTTACACAGACCTCTGCTGCCAGTTTCCATGGGTGAGGCCTTGCTGATGCTCCTTGGATAAGACCTGTGTGCAACTGTCTGTGGACTTGGCTTCTTGCTGTGGATAACTTGGACTTGCTGTTGGGCTGGAAGAGCCTCATTTAACCCTGGGGAGAACTGGAACCTCCAGAAATTTAATGTAGTACTAAGCCCAAGAGCACATGGTCTGACCTTGAACTCTGGTTCTGACCTGCTTCTGATTTATTCTACAGCCATCTCAGTCAACAGAACTTTCTTCTGTCATGGGAATATTCTATTTCTGTGTTGTACAATATGATAGCCACGAGCCACACAAGGCCACTGGGCACTTGGAATGTGGCCAGTGGGACCGAGGAGCTGCACTTGTTTAAATGGCAGCTTACATTACACAGCTGTGGGTGGCCGGTGGCTGGTGTGCTGGATGCTGCTGCTCTGGCCCCTGCTGACTTTTGTGACTTCATCTCTGATCTCATTCCCCTCCCCTGGCTTTCTCCTTCCCTCTGCCTGCACTCCCAGACCTCCTGCACGTCTCGATTTTCGCATTTGCTGTTCTCTCTGCTGGCATCACTTTTTCCTCTGATCATTTTAAGTTTACCTTTGCTCAACAGGAGGGCCTTGGATCAAGTGCTTGTCTTTAGAAAGACCGTCCCTATTTCATCAAATAGTGCCCCCAGCCCCACTCCAATTTCTCCTTATGTCTCTGAAGTTATCATATTTGTGGGTTTTCTTGTCTACTGCCCTCTCCCTGGGTAAGAATACCAGTTGCAGCAGAGCAGGGATGTGATCTGTCCTCTCCCATTCCAGTTCTGTGTCTGGAACAGCACCTGACAGGCAGAAAGTGCTCAGCACGGTGCCCAGGGCACATGAACACCCTGCAGGACAGCCCCCACTTCGGCGAGGAGGAAAGGCAGTCAAGGCCCCAGTAATTTCTGCTGTTTGACAAAATAACGTGAGCACAGCGGCCTAGAACAACAAAGATTTGTGATTTCTCCCAATTCTCTGGGTCTGGCATGTGAGCAGAACTCAGTTCCACGTTGTGTCAGCGAGGGTTACTCGGCTGGGGGCTGGGCTGGGCAGGGTGTGTCTTCCTTTCTCCCATATATCCCTGGATAAGGGTTTGTGGTCCTCTGTGGCACTACTCCTGTGAGGGCCCGTGGGCACCCAGAATGCCTGAGCCCTGCCTGGGACATGCCCCTCACTGCTCCATGCCTGAGGGAACTATTGAGAGGTGCAGAAAGCCACATGGGTCTATACTTAGGAAAACACAGCCACCCAACTGGCAAGGTGGTAGGATTGATGAGGCTGAAGGGGCTCGAAGGTTGGCCAAATCCAGAGTCAGCACAGACAGACATCAGGGTGCCAGGCTGAAGGGTGAAGGGAAAGAAAGGTCCCTGGAGCCAAGTACATGCTTTAAATCCAGGGAGAGATTGTGGGTCAGAGCTGGGGCGTGCTGACGTGGGGGTGATCGTTACAGCGACATTACCTTTGAGACCCTCATTAGTCTGGGCATTTCATATGAGCTCATTCTAAGCCACTTAGCGCTCCGGCTCCGGGATGATCGTGACCTACACAGATCAAGAAGAGAAAAGTAGCTGTTGGTTCGTTGGCCGAACCCACAGGTATGAGCTAAACACGAAGGATTTAAGCTCTGGCTCTTATCCTGGCCAAGTATATCATCTTGGGCATGTTACTAAACTGTCTAAGTCTCCATTTCCTCATCTGGCAAACGGTGCTCAGATACGTTCCCACAGCATAGCTTTGTTATGAGGATTAAATAAGATGTCTGTGAATTAGCAAGACACCCAGCCCAGCCATAGTAGGGGATCCTTAGGTGATGGTGGGAATGGAGAGGTGGGAACAGATCCACCAAGTAAAGGGCAAAGCCAAGATCAAACGCAGGTCCAGCCGACTGCACGGCGGCTCCTCCTGCCTCTTCACTGCCGCTAAGAGAAGGGTAGCATTCAATGAGCAGATGGCAATGGCTCAGAGTGCAGATCAGTGCAAAGGGCTTTCTCAAGTCTTCTCTGCAAAGAAGGAGGGATGGCATACGTGTGTCTTTGGTCATTTCCAGGTGACTCTATCCAAAGTCCATGCAGGAAAGTAGATGCTGTGAGCAGGGTGGAATATGCGTATCGAAAGGTCTAGAGAAGACCCAGGGCCCCAGGCATGACTGATCAACATCTAA